AGACTACGTCTTATTAAGGTGTAAGTATCTGTCTAGAAACTACAAGGTTTGACGCCAAATGGCAAGAAATGCGTGGTTTGCAGGCACAAATCCTGGTCGGTCGTTGTGCGTAACAGCGTCTGCAATTTGAGACTACTAAAGGCTCTGTACTTATCCGCTCCTGACAGAGGCAGGAACTGGTAGATCTAGGCTCTGCTCAATAATTAATATTATGGTATATGGTAAATGTGACCTCACTGACTGAAAGAGAGACGGAGTGAACTCGTTGGCAAGTTTGCGCGTTTCTTGCTACAATCGAACTAATATCGCTACTTCTAATCTGAAAACCGAATGATCACTGACATACTTATAAATGCCTCTGCGATAGGCCATTAGGACTTGCCTTTTATTTTTCAGAAAAAAAAACTGTTATTACAGTTTGCTATTGGTCATTTTCGTCAGAATCAGTTATACCAATCAATATTAAAGGTCAACAGCCATGAATCATGGTGTTATCATGGTAACAACTATCAAATCAAGAAGAACTGTAACAATGGAAAATAGTAATTGGCGTACCTTTATCAATTAGGGATATCAATCATTGATGATAATTTTTTCAATGAGTACGAATTGAAAGAGCGATTACACGAGTGAATTCATGCACATCAAAAGCTAATTCTGACGAGCGCTGAAAAAAACAGGAAGAGCGAAGAAGAATGAGCGAATTTTTCTCGTTCAAACATTGATCCATTCACGGTCACAAAAACCCTTTAAACAATAATTATTTCTATTGCTTATTGTGATTATTATTGATTCTTCCGAAGCGGACAGATTTTATTGAATAACATATATCTGTTTGTATGATTGTAGGTTAAGTTGTCAGATTTTTGTCTATTGGTTATTTATACAATTATGAAAGTTATGATATTCTGCCATAATTTGGGTTTGCTGAAAAAAATAAGGATTGTTTGATCAACTTCACAACCTGTCAATTTGCAGTGACCAACTCGGAAGTGCTTCATAATAAGAGACAGATTTTCTTTGTATTTAAATATTTTCAAGCTGCATCATTGCACTTCTCTATACTCTTCTTGGCTAATCCAAAAAATTAAAATAAATAAATAAAATAATAACACGTAATATCTTTATATTTCAGCCAACACATACAACATACCAATCTGTGTGTGGATCCTTGAGACGCACCCACACAACCCCCCTCTATGCTTTGTGCGGCCCACCAGTACCATGCTTATCAAGCCCTTTAAGCATGTAGATGCCAACGGAAGGGTCTACCTGCCCTATCTACATGATTGGAAACCAGTAAGTAGAACATTTAAAGATAAAGTTCTGGTCATGCGATTGCATTGTGAAAGTAACATTGTGGAATCGATCAGAAAAGGTTGATCATAATCTAGCATATACGTATTGTTGTGTTATAGAGTGGTGAAGTGTGACGTCATCAAAAAATCTAATTTTAGAATTTTTCAATTTTTCTTCATTTTCCGAAGGAGCATAACAAATAATGTCCAAATGTCGAAAACCAGTTGAAAATGTTAATTATTGGCTGAGATATAACCAGCTGAATGAAAAGATTTCCTATAGGAGCTCAGTGTTATATTGCTCTGGTTCATAAAGTTATAGGATCAATCGTAATTCTTTATCAGATGGGGCCCTGGTGTAAATATTTACATGTTACAGCAAGTGTACTTGTTGTGTAGATACATGTAATCACTTTGTGGTCAATTTCTAGAACTAATTTAATTCCTAAATGTATACTAAACCCAAGCTCTAATCCTTCATCTGTTCAAACTCAAGCCCGGAGCATAAACGTCTCCGGAGTAAGTATTGGATCACCTTTGCATCTCTATGATAATGCATCTCTTTCTGTCTTTGTTTCTTCACCAGAACAACTCCGATCTTGTTGGGCTGATCAAGGTCATGACAGTCGTCTTCGGAGAGAGCTCTCCCGTCTATGCCAAATCAGCAGGGCAACCGCCGCCCCGCCCCTCCTACACCCCACAAGGAGGTGGGATGCCCCAGCACCCCAGTTACCCACAACCGCAGCAGTGTAAGTTGAGACTAGAACAATAATGCATGTAACGATTATCTTGATTGGCCATTGTCCATTTGCAATTGATTGCTACCTCTGCTCTGTTTTTACAGGGCCCAGGGCCCGTATTCAATTCAATACTTACGTACAAAATTTAAGCTTTTTACTTAGTATTTGGCTTAGATAAAATACTTAGCCAATTTGGGTATTCAATTCAAACTTTTGGCTACCGGTAAGTATTTTACCCTACATTTAAGACAGCTCCTACCAGAATTAAGCCATTTTTTTGGAGGCCTTTATTGGCAGGCATATGGTTTTCTAATACCCTTTTCACATCTACCAAATATTGCTTAACCCCGGGAAATAGGTGGGGCTAAGGGGGCTCTTAGCCCCACCAATTCCTTCCTTAGCCCCACCAATTACCCGGGGTAATTTTAGCCGGCTTTCTGTTCACATTACGTTTTGCCAAAGTGGGCTAACCCCACAAATAGTACGGGACTATCTGGCCCTGCAAAATAGCAGGGTTAGCCGGGCAATTGCGGGGTTAGCCGGGCAATTACTACCCTTTTCACATCTATTTTTCTTAACCCCGGACTATCCTTAACCCCATACTATCCTTAACCCCATACTATTTTTTTTGCTGTTCACATCTATTTTCTTAACCCCGGACTATGTGCTTAGCCGGGGTTAAGAAATTTCACGCGATTCACACTACGTTCGCCTTAGCCCCGGACTATTCGATAGCTCATGAATATTAATGCTTTTGCTACCGCGCATGCGTAACGTGAACTGCATGCATAGCGCGCGATAAATGCAAATTCACGACCACACGACCACGCTGTCTGTGATTGGCTGTTGCTTAGCCCCGCTTCTCCTTAGCCCGGTTCGGATTCACACTACGCAGCTTAGCACCACAATTGCCCGGCTAACCCCGCAATTGCCCGGCTAACCCTGCTATTTTGCAGGGCCAGATAGTCCCGTACTATTTGTGGGGTTAGCCCACTTTGGCAAAACGTAATGTGAACAGAAAGCCGGCTAAAATTACCCCGGGTAATTGGTGGGGCTAAGGAAGGAATTGGTGGGGCTAATACCCTTTTCACATCTACCAAATATTGCTTAACCCCGGGAAATAGGTGGGGCTAAGGGGGCTCTTAGCCCCACCAATTCCTTCCTTAGCCCCACCAATTACCCGGGGTAATTTTAGCCGGCTTTCTGTTCACATTACGTTTTGCCAAAGTGGGCTAACCCCACAAATAGTACGGGACTATCTGGCCCTGCAAAATAGCAGGGTTAGCCGGGCAATTGCGGGGTTAGCCGGGCAATTGTGGTGCTAAGCTGCGTAGTGTGAATCCGAACCGGGCTAAGGAGAAGCGGGGCTAAGCAACAGCCAATCACAGACAGCGTGGTCGTGTGGTCGTGAATTTGCATTTATCGCGCGCTATGCATGCAGTTCACGTTACGCATGCATGCAGTTCACGTTACGCATGCATGCTCTCTGTATTGACGTTTAGTCTTTTACGAGGCAGAGGTCATTATGAAAAAATCTTTATTATAAAATTGATTTAAAAAAATAGTGAAAGAACATGTAGCTCATAATTTTTTATTGCATTTATCATTATCAGTCATATTTACGTAGGTAAATTTATCAAGTGAATTGGATGAAAAATGGGTAATTGATTTGTATCGGTAAAATAATAAAGGGAAAACGCTTTGCGCGGTAGCAAAAGCATTAATATTCATGAGCTATCGAATAGTCCGGGGCTAAGGCGAACGTAGTGTGAATCGCGTGAAATTTCTTAACCCCGGCTAAGCACATAGTCCGGGGTTAAGAAAATAGATGTGAACAGCAAAAAAAATAGTATGGGGTTAAGGATAGTATGGGGTTAAGGATAGTCCGGGGTTAAGAAAAATAGATGTGAAAAGGGTATAAGAGCCCCCTTAGCCCCACCTATTTCCCGGGGTTAAGCAATATTTGGTAGATGTGAAAAGGGTATTGTGAATCCGAACCGGGCTAAGGAGAAGCGGGGCTAAGCAACAGCCAATCACAGACAGCGTGGTCGTGTGGTCGTGAATTTGCATTTATCGCGCGCTATGCATGCAGTTCACGTTACGCATGCATGCAGTTCACGTTACGCATGCATGCTCTCTGTATTGACGTTTAGTCTTTTACGAGGCAGAGGTCATTATGAAAAAATCTTTATTATAAAATTGATTAAAAAAAATAGTGAAAGAACATGTAGCTCATAATTTTTTATTGCATTTATCATTATCAGTCATATTTACGTAGGTAAATTTATCAAGTGAATTGGATGAAAAATGGGTAATTGATTTGTATCGGTAAAATAATAAAGGGAAAACGCTTTGCGCAAGGCTGGATAACACAACACGAGCGAGCTAAAATTATTACGTACCGTACTGTATATTGTTGGTCTTTTTACCACAAGCAAAGAGTTCGTTGACCGATATTGATTATAGTTCAATTGTTGCATTGATTGTCTCCTGATTTTAATTGTATTTACACCGGAATGACGGCTTTACCCATCAGAAGGACCAATTGGGAAGATGTTGAAATCAGGTTTTTCCTGAGTCTGTGGGCAGAGGGTTTTTCCCCTTCATTTAGTCGAAAGGCGCATGCGCGGTAGCAAAAACATTAATATTCATGAGCTATCGAATAGTCCGGGGCTAAGGCGAACGTAGTGTGAATCGCGTGAAATTTCTTAACCCCGGCTAAGCACATAGTCCGGGGTTAAGAAAATAGATGTGAACAGCAAAAAAAATAGTATGGGGTTAAGGATAGTATGGGGTTAAGGATAGTCCGGGGTTAAGAAAAATAGATGTGAAAAGGGTATTAAGCAGTATCATAACCTGCGCACAATTATATTAGCGCAAATTTATTGCGACGCATTAATACGTGCCTTCACGGTTGTTTCATCGCAAAGCATGCCGGGACATAATTCTAGTCCAATTTCACCTTCGCGCGATTCACGATCATTGTGGTCCATTGCATTGTCAACATGGTCAACCACGGGATTTTTTTGTGTTACTGAAATGTGCTCAGAATTCAAGTAATTCATCTATTAAATGACAGACAAGAAACAAGTCAAAGGTAAGGACAAGAATCAGTGCTTATCAATATAACAGAAATTTCGCATGAAATACTAGAATGGCCGACAGTTGTGTGTGTGTGTGTGACTGTGAGTCTGCAACGATTTGTAACATGTATTTATAATTGATAGATCACACATAACTTAGATCTAAGTTAGATCTAGCAGGGCCCTGGGAACGATTTAAAAAAAAAAAAAAAAAAAGCGTAATTTGTGGCTGTCGGCTGTGTGAAAATTTCGTACACGAAGCATAATGATATAGTCTACATTAAATATATCATTCAGACCAAAAAAAAATTGCAGGGGGTGCTATGCACCCCCTGAAGAATTTCCAGGGGTGCTGCAGCACCCCCAGCACCCCCGCTTCCCAGGGCCATGAGATCTAGTCTGTACTAGGTCTAGCTAGATCTAGGTGCAATACTAATCCTGGCTGTGTATTTAAAGCTGTGCTATTGATTCTCAACATTTCAAACACCACTGTACAAAAATCAACTGATTTCACTCAAAATCGGTACTTTAGTGACGATTGATGACACCTAATTCCTAAATAGCAGTAAAATACAAGTTTTTCAACTTTCCAATGTTAGAAAGAATAATTTAAAAATTCAAATTGTGAGTCCACTGTCAAACTTGCCGATCTCTATGCATCGCTGGAGTGCATTTTCCTATGAACAGTGTATATTCATTTTCTGATAGGGTCTACCAGTTATCTTGAAATTGAAATATCGTCGCCTGGCTGGCAGAAGGGCGTTACCTCAAATTTCAGGTCAATAATGAAACATTAAGCAAAAGGGCGTTATAGCACTAAATCGCCTCAAACATTTATAAAACTGATTTATTTTCGAGAAAAAAATTGTGGCTGTGTTCTACTACAACGTTTCTATTACTATAAGTCTTTATGTTTTAAACCAATTTTCGGGACGGAAAGCAGTTTAAATATCAAACAAATCTTTAAATGCGAATAATTTGAAAAGTAGTTTTCGAGTCGCTCGCGCGCTTACGCCCTTCTCCCACCTGGCCGACGATATATTTAACTTTTATTTGATACATGGCATTGTTCAGATCTAAACTAAATTAAACATTTATTTTTGTCTCACTTTCTTTTCTTAGAGTTCCATGGACAAGCCATCTACATGTAGACGCTCCAGTGGCGGCTGTGGTGGGTCACCTGATGCCCTCATTTACATGTGCAGTGGTAAGCTGTAAGAACACAAGTCGAAGTTTTCTCAAATGGAACTCAAAAATCTGTGACATACACAAATGCACCCGTAAAGAGGAACTGTGCACCTGCAAACCTCCTTATAGGTTTCTTCCATTCCCAACACAAAAATTTCCACAACTGCGTGGAGAGTGGATCCGTAAAATAAGGCGTGTAGATCCTTCAACCAAGAAGCCATGGATTCCTAAGCACTTCAGCAGGGTTTGTTCGATACATTTTGTTGATCTTGCCCCATCTGCAAGTCGTGTCCCTACTTTGCATCTTGGATATGATGTGCCTCTACCCAAATCTAGAAGAACAATAAAGCGAACAGTACCAGACCCTGTGACTGCTGGACCTGTCCCAAAGGTTGTTAGAGCTGATTCAGCTGAACCATCTGTTGCGTTAAAAGTTAAAAATGTTCTTGCCGAAAGTGGACACGATTATAGAATATCATGTAAATGTGCTGTATCATGTCATTGTAAAGAAGCTGCGACAATCATCCGATCATTAGAAGACGAAGTTGAGAGGCTTAAAAAATTAGAGGACAAACATACATTTTTTCATTCATTGTCTGATGGTGATATCAGTTTTTATACAGGTTTTCCATCAAAAACTTTATTTCAGAGTGTATTTTCTTTCATTCAGCCGAAGGCAAGACGATTGAGATATTGGAAAGGGGCCAAGGAGGCTAAATCAAATGAGAGACTCCTTTCCGGTACAAAAAATTCACCAAAGAAGCGTGGTCCGATAAGGAAGCTCGAATTAGTAGACGAGTTTTTGCTCGTTTTAATGAGGTGCCGGCTTGGCCTATTGAACCGAGATTTGGCCAAGCGTTTTGGTGTATCACCAGCATCTGCATCGCATATTTTCTTTACGTGGATCAATTTTTTGGCTGAAGTTTTAGGTCCTTGTGTGTGGTGGCCATCAAAAGATATTGTTCGTCGCAACCTTCCATCAGCTTTTAGGACCAAGGAATATAGGAACGTTAGGTGCATTATAGACTGCACAGAAATTTTCATTGAGCGGCCCCGTAATCTCTATCTACAGGCTGTTACATGGTCAGATTACAAGAAACATAATACCATCAAGCTTTTAATTGGTATTACTCCTAATGGCCTAATCTCTTTTCTGTCCGATATCTGGTGCGGGAGAGTAACAGATAAACACATTGTTCAGGAATCTGGATTTTTGAATTTACTCGAAAATCAAGATACAATTATGGCTGACAGGGGATTCCCGATTACAGAAGAGCTCATGATGAGGCGAGCGTCACTAGTCATCCCACCTGGCAAAAGAGGTCAGGAACAGATGACCAGGCAACAGGTGATGCAGACTAAAAAAGTTGCGAATCTACGGATTCATGTAGAACGTGCAATTAGGCGGCTCAAGTCTTTCCGAATTATAAAAGGAACTCTTCCGTGGAGTCTTATTCCCTTGTCGGATCAGATAGTCAAAGTTTGTGCAGCCCTCTGCAACATGCAAGACCCGCTAGTTGCATGAACTTTCATTCATAAGCACAGTGTACAGTTTTTTCTTCAGGATAAGTACCGGTATCGTATAATGAACTCATGCACATGCATCATTTGTATAATATTAATTCTTTGAATTGAATCCTAAGCGTCAGATTTAACACATGTACATGTATGCATAGTTGACTTTAATAAGTTTTACTTTCTTGGATGTATAATATATGATATATTTTACTTTTCTAGTCTTTTATGTCACATATTTTTGGGTGTGTAGTAGTCTACAGGGTGTATGCCAAAAAAATTAGTCCTCTGCCAATGAATTAAAAAAAAAAAAAAATTGTACGGTCTAACGTTTACCTCACCTGTACAAACATACAGTTCTTACATTGTTGCAGCTTGCGTTTACTTAATCTTAGATTCTTTTTTACAATGTATGAATTATAAATTATATTATATTTACAATAAGCAACATTAGGTTAGGTTTTATGTAATATTCTATTGACAGCTGACAAGTTACGAAGTAAAGGTGCAATTCACTACTACCAAAATATTTACGCAACACGTTTTGATAATCACTTTCATTATTTGTTATTTTATTGTTTAAATGTATTCAGATATAATGTACAAAACATGATCACTTACAGCATGTACATATTGTTGTACTGGTAAACTGTTTGAAAAGCAAATTTGTTTCAAATACATAACCGGTAAGTCCGGTATACAGAACATGACCTAAAAGGTCCTCTCAGGGTATGACCATAAAACAGTATTGTATCATTAGTTGCCAGTAAGCTAAAAACATGTACTTTTATTTTGTATAACTATGTCAAAGTTAATTGTATACAGCTTGCTCTTGGCGGTGCCAAAATATTTATGCTTTTAATGCGCATTTACATGTACATTGTATACAATGCTTAAATTGCCATCAGATCAGAGCAATGAGACGACTAAGAAGAGAAAAAAAACTTGAGTATGAAAAACAGTGCGTCAAGGTTTCACTTCACAAATGTACATACACATATTAAAATGTAAATTACTAGTATTATTGTACTGTTACCTCAGAGCACAATTACTGAAGACAAAAAACATAAGTATGAAAAGCAATCTCAGGTTTCACTTGCCAGTTTGTACAAACATGTATACTGTAATCAACTCTTGTTTACGCCCATAGTGAGTGCACATTTGAACCAATCAGAATTGCACATCTAGTCACATGATATGATATGATATGAATTGCAATTATAAAGGCAATTTTACAATCAATTGTGTCTTTAAATGTACATATTTATGGGACTTATTCATGAACATCTCAGTTCATGCATGCATAAGTCTACTGCATGAACCAGGGAAAAAAACTGGCATGAACACATATTTATTACTGAATGTTAAGCTACATAAACCGGTATGTATTATATAACTTAAAATTATGTAAACAATAATACAATATTGTGAACATCATATTTATTCTCTGGATTATCACATGCCAGCATATTGCTTTGCCATACTCGATGCAACCAATGCCATGCAGCTGCCAAGAAGTTCAAATATTAAACATTACTTTGTATTCAGCTTCCACTTTGCAATTACTACTGCCATAACCCTTATTGATTTATTTTCATAAATGTTCATATTATGCTCTGTTGTTGTTTCTCAAGAAACATACTGTTTTAGTAACTTATTTTATAGTGTTCCTAAGAAATATGACTGTAAACTAACGAGCATTTCTTGTAATGACAGCTGTTGAAAATTTGTTTGGAAAAAAAAATCCATTAAATTGTCTTTCTCTTTATATCATGCTTTCACTTGGTCTTTATTTGCATTCATCATGTGCATTTTGGGCAACACCATCTCTCTTCAATCAGCTGATCATCATCTTTATCTAGAATATTTACACATACGAAATGACACCATTTGTGGCAGCAATCACAACAAATGGAATTGTCTTCAAATGTACATCCATCAGGAAGTTGCAAACACTCATTGTCACAAATACTACACATGTATACAGGTCGACTTTTCTGACGTACTAACATCTTTCCAGTTTTTTTCTTCCTCTTTTTGGTGTCATTTTCTCTTGGTTGTGTCTGATTTGATGTTGATGAAAGTGATGGCTTGGTTGAACTTCCTGAACGATTTGATGAGAGGACTTGAGACGACTCTGCTGTTTGTTCTGTTGTCTGGAGATCAGCGTTTGTTGGTACTACCTGTGTTCTTGCTGCATTTATATGTGACAATACATGAATATGTGGTGCAACAACACTTTCCCAAAAGTATTTGGCATTGTCCCTAAGTTTTTTCCAAATGGTTTCATCAAAAGGAATATTCAGCAACGCACTTCCTTGTTCGCAGTAAACAAAAAAATGGCACCATTTTCTCTTTGTTACAGCCATCTGCATCATAACTTGGCTCATATAAATGTGTTTTTCTTGCAGCATTGGAGTGCCATCAGCAGATTCTTGAATATATGTTGGCTTCCCAACAGCAGGAACTTCTTCAATGTCTGGACATTTAATTTCCACTACCCCCTGTCCATGGCAGTCACACTTGACAAGCATATCCGGACTTGATCCTAAATAAGCCAACTCCTCAGAGATGAAAAGCCCGCACTCTTTGAAAGTGACATTGGTATGGCTTACCTTCATTATTTTTTTATATGCCTCCTTGGCTTTCGGCTCCATACCAATGCCACGGCGCATCTGTCTTGTCTGGATTGGAGACGTCCTCATGATGGATTGGAGAAGCTTTGATGTGTCTATTAATGGATTTTTTTTTAAGGATTGTACTCTTGTGTAAGCTCTGTGAATTATTGATGAGGTTACGCGACCAATTCGCTGATGATGCCAATTGTCTGAAGAAGCCTGTCCTCTTGTTTTTTTTTCGATACAATTGATGTCAGTTGAAGTTGGTTGTTGGAGGTGTTGAATAAATTGAGTTGATGTTGGGTACATGGAGGCAAGCTGTAAAAGAGGCAACATAGGATGAGGTGAAGTGGGAATGTCTAGTGTATGGGAAGTGTTGAGGTCATCTTCTGGTGAGCCCTTATTTACCTCTTCTGGATTGTAGTCTTCGCTTTGAACATAACTTAACATTACAGCACTGGGCATAGATGCACGAATGATGTCAGCCAGTTGTTGCCGCTGTTCGTATGCTGATGTTCTCTTCTCTGTTGCAGAGTAGCGAAGACTACTTGGTGTTACCAGCTTTGGGGGCTTTGATGTTAATCCTGTAAAAATTGAAATTGAGTAATATTTAACATAGTTTCAAATCAGTGGTAAAAATATAAATTTTAATTACCTTATGACTTTATATATTTAGTAGTTAGCTTTGTCATGGTAAACAAACAAGATATATGATCATTACAATTTCTTTTGAATAAAAAAGGGAGTGCTCTAATAAAAAGATTACAAAAATTATGAGGTTCGTTGGTAAAAATGTACACTTCAAAGAACAAAAATGAAATAGAATTGAGTGTAGTGTTAAACTTCTCTATTGTTTTTTTTTAGGGATGGGGGAGTGGCACTGAATGAATATCTTTAGGATTTAATAGGATAATATCAATCAGACTTTAAACTTTGGATTTGGGAATGATATTATACTTTTCATATTTACATATTCGGCATAGAAAATAATATACAAAATAAAAATAAAAAATATTTTGTCCCAAATTGTTTACTTTCCTTTCAATTTTTACAGCTCACACCATATATGACTATTCCTGTATAATAACACCAATTAAAATAGAAAATATATTCACCTTTACCATAGTGGTGCCTCTCCCAACTGACTTCTTTCACTCGGCATGGTAATACCCTCTTTGATGTAGCAATCCAGCTATTGGCCACTGAGGTGCATGCTGGGTTGACTAGTCCACTCTTGAACGCATGGTCCAGTTTGAAGAGCATGGCAGCTACATGATTGCATGTCTGTCCTAAGCTGTTTGGAAAATAAATAAACATTAATTAGGTATTGCATAAACCTGTACCAAAAATGAATTATATCTTAGTAATTCCACTACCTATTACTGCTTCTACTTTTGATGTAAAACAATTTTCATATAATTTGTAATGTGCTCTATATCACAATAAAATACAAATTGCCTTATTCTACTAAAAAGGAACATTTATCCAACATACTTCTCTAATATCATAGCTCTTAATTTAAAAAAAAAACTCACCCAGCAACACAGGTACAGTATGCTGAGCAGATCATCCCATCGTCTTTTTGGCACAGTAACCAAGCTTCATGGGGCTCTGCTCCGATGTTCTGCGATGGCGTGCATTTTGATTTCAAAAAGCAGAAGGGGCTGTCTCCCATGGGATTAAAAAATATCTCCTTCAACCAGGAACTGGCGAAATAGCTATAGGCCTTCCCTTCTTTGTAATCTTTCATGATCCTTCCCTCCAGTGATGCTGGGTCCTTATTAAGTAAGTACATACAAATGTCCCTATACATTGTAGGTGGCCAGTATTGCATGCCTCTCTGCTCCCCAATCCATCCATCATCCAGTTCGCTCATGGGATCAGGAAATGTATGGTCATTGAAGACGAGGAGCTCGCGATATGTAGATGCCCTTGATCTCGTCTTTTCTACCTCTGATGGCTGGATAGCTATCCCCTGCGTCATGGCAGAGAAAACCCACGCTATCATATCACCTCGATTTCCGAGCTTGAGTCCCCTCCTTCGTAGAAAATCGCGTAGTGCTTCTGTTTTCCATTGTGATATGATGTCTCTCGTAACATCTACATCATCTTGTGATTCATCAGCCATGATGCTGCAACTGATAAATAAAAGGAAAAAGACAAACAAATTTAACATTGTGACCACAAGAATTACAGAAATAAAAAAAACCTTATCAATTCTTCAACACTAGATCATGTAGATCCATGTAGATGCTGAAGGTGAACTTATCAATATCAGATTCATAGTTTTATCCAATCCAGCAAAGCAAAGCAAAGAGTCAATGCTAATGCGTATTGACCTCTAGCACTGCATACTTGCAGAGAGGCAGGTATAATACACAAATACACACACCAAGACTGCACACAATAGAACTGATGTGGCTGATGAGCAAATTTGACACTAGACTTACAATTTTAATTTTTAATTTTTTTTTTTAACATCAGTAACAAACTGTATTTTACTGCTATTTAGGTGTCATCAATTGTCACTAAAGAACCGATTTTGAGTGAAATCAGTTAGAGTTTTGTACAGTAGTGTTTGAAATGTTGAGAATCAATCCGCCCCCCCCCCCCACTCAGTGTTATTTAGGGTATTCATATGCATCTTCCCAGCACCCCCCCCCCCCCTTCAGCATAAGTCCGGTATATAAAGTCAATACAGGTAGATCTATTTATTTGTTATACAAGCATTTTCAGCACACCCCCCCTCCCCCCCCCTGTTCAGCATAAGTCCGGTGTGTAAAGTAAAAAATACGGGCAGATCTTTTTCTTTGTTACGAGCAAGAGATTTTGGGAACACGCATGCGGTCCCTCCGTTCCTGGAGAGGGGGGGCTGGGGAATCAATACAACAGCTTTTAATACACTGAGCCAGGATATTAATGCACCTACGTCTAGACTATGTGTGGTATTATCCAGATGCAAATTGAAGAAAAAAAATCTATCGTTTTGATAATCATGACATTGCCTCTTCATTGCAGTCATTAACTGTGTCAGCCATTCTAGTATTTTATTATCTATGATGTATATATTCATATATCCTGAGACACAAGTCTAATTTTACTGTACATTTGGTTAATTTCTACCCACAACACGAGTAGCAGCTGGAAAAGAAAAGGCAAGCCACCGACGCAAAATGCACAAGTACATACACACACACACATTTGAACATATGGGACGGCCACTCTCATAAGCCCACTTTACATCGTATTATCAGCTTTATTTTTGAGAAGGATCGTCATAAACATACATGATCACAAATGTTGGTGTCTTACCGTACAAATGGTGATGGAATGAAAGAGGACTGTACTCAATGGAAGAAGAAGAAGAAGATTGCAATGTTGATTCGAAATCCGATCCCGGCGTTGTTGATAAACAATGAACAGCTGATGATAACAGCTGATCGTGCGAAGGTGAAAATTTGTAGGTCGAACAAATTTGTATTCCGCGCTGCGCGAAGGTGAAAATGGACTAGAATTCTGTCCCGGCATGCTTTGCGATGAAACAACCGTGAAGGCACGACCGTGTGATGTCACAATGATATCAGTAAGCCATTTCAGTCAGACCGCAGCGCGCGCGTATACGTTAATGAGGCTGAAAGCTGATTTTTATTCAGCGATATCTGGCGATCACATAACATTTACGTCTGCTGAATTTCCATGCGCTTTTCAGTGAGATTTGTAGGGGTGTACATGTAGCTGCGTTTTTGGTCGTTAACTTCATTCAACATGGCAGCATGCAACGGAAAGTCACTCTCGAGATTTTCAGCATCAGTTTGATATGTAATTTGCCATTTTTCGCAATTTGTAAACAATAATTTTCACAACTTTTATTGACGCTATTTTTGTAACATTTCAACTGCTGTTTTGACCCGGGAATTTCACTTTTGGTTCCTGACTTTGGGACAAAATAAATTTGTCCACTTTGAGATTCGTTCGAAAGATGAAAAGTCACTGATCAAAAATATGTCAAAACCTAATTGACGCAAAATCATGTTCTTTTTATAATCATAGTAATTAAGACCCTAAAAACCCGGAAATTACCAATTTGTTCTTTTTATGATAGCGCGAAATTGTGTGATTTCATACTCGTGCACGCTCGCCGTCTGAGCAATGGCAATGCATAACTGATTATTAAACTCCAGGGAGCTCCGCCGCGCCATCGACTAGCCGAATTTTTTTTAGAAAAATGATTAAAAAAGAAATACAGTAGAAAAGAAACATATACACGGCATGTGAGGTATTTGATCTCGTGTCCTTAGATTGTTGTCAAGACAGCTTGCGCGCACGTGCATTGCAGGCGCACGCCACAACGCATGGTTACCAAGATGTGTTATTCAGAATGTTAATAAACCAAAGCGAAACATATGTGACGTAGTTGACGTAGTTGACCAATCAGAACTCTCTATTATCACATCGGCAAAATTTACTACTTTTTTTAATTATTCATGAACATGAGCGTGATCTTTTTTGGTTCCTGACTTTGGGACAGCGTAAAATATAATAATTTTGATATCATTGTAAAGAAAAATATGTATGCTTTATGCTGATTATAACATCTTCTTGACGCAAGAATGATTTCTATGTGAAAATTAGCCCTACTCTTCGAAAAACCCCATTTTCAAGGCGAAATATCTGTTTCCAAAATATATCTAACATGATTGTCATATAAGTATATAGAGAGTTCAACTTCTTATCTTTAAAATAAGACCAATTTCATGAGAAATGAACAATTATAAAGGCAAAAACTGCCGATCGGGAAGACCGTCTGCACTACTCATTACGTATGCGAGACACGTAAATTCTTGCATACGTGCTGAATAAAATAGAGGGTTTTCGCACCGGCTGCGGTCTGACTGATTTACTTAATAAATTTCTTACTTATTCTAAGTATTGAATTGAATACCGGCCCAGGAGAATAGAGGGGATACTTTTGGGGGTAACAGGGTGTAACATGTGCATATATATACTGGTGTTATATGGAGAATTTGAATTGATACTGCCATTTATTTTCTCTTTTATTTTATAAACAAGTTTAAAAATTCTGCACTGTTTGGCGGGTATTCTACTCAAATGTTAACTTTTCACTGGTTTGAAGTTTGGTCTGACGTCATAATTTAACAAAGGAAGTGAAAACAAAGTTTCTCATATTAAAGATGACACATACCTGGCATCAGGTTTTAACTAAATGAATAGTATTCATGCCCATGCATGAATGTAGGGTTATATTTTGGTGACAGAATAAAAAGAAAGGGCAAAAATATGACAGGTTTAAGGATCGATACAACTTGGAATCAACTCTGGGATTTAATATGTAAATTGGCAGGCTGAAAAAGTATCAAAATCCATAAATTAATTTATGTAATAGTTCTTGTCTTTCTTTCTCATATCCATAAATTCATTGATTTAATAGTGTTCATGACTTTCTTTCTCATACATCAATAACCTTACCCACTTTCTGTGACATGACTGAAAAGATACAGATTTCCTGGTGGTCCCCCAAAATGTCTTTCTGCCATAACTTTATAGCCGATAGATAAGCCCCCATTTACTTCTACCACTTTATCTTCAGCCTCTTTTATGCCGATGCCGATGCCGGCCCCAGCCAATACTTCCAGCGGCTACTCCCAGCCCCAGCCCCAGTACCCCCCTTCCACCAACTACCAGCCCCCTGCTGAAGGTGGTAGTGGGTACACCCCTGGCTACCAGGGCTCGTCTGGTTACCCTTACCCATACCAGCCAGGCCAGTCCACTCCAGGCCAGCAGACGCAAAGCCAGCCGTACCTGCCGCTATGGCTACAGCTAGCACTGCAGGTTTAATTAGTTAAAGTTCTATCTATCTAAATATCTTCTCCCGGTTCGGAGGTTCAGAGATTGCAACATCTCTCCATTTCACTCTATCTTCTGCCATTCTGGTGCACTCTTGCAATTTTAGTCCACTCCAGCTCTGGACATTCTCTTCCCAGTTGATTCTAGGTCTCCCTCTCGGTCTAATTCCTTCCACTCTTCCCTCCAATACATCCTTAAGGGGTTTTGGTGCCTTTTAACATGACCAAAGTCCAATTTCAAGTTAACTTAATTTCATTCCAGTATTAAAGTCAATTTCTGTACAATCTGATGTAAACACAGAAATGAATGAGGCAGATGCAGATTTATGATTATAAGGCAATGATCATAATGATAATTCCATTCCTAAGCATAAATGCTCTCCTATGTTTGGACTATGAATAGTTATTTCATTGTGTCTGAAACAAAGATAAGGTACATGATTTCTGAGGTTTAGAGAAAAGATATACATATATAACCAGAGCCGAATTCGTATAAACAAGATGTTGTAAAGATTAGACCCCATAAGTTCACTTAGAAAGAGGAGACCTACTGCAAACCTACAGGATAATGACACAAATCAGTTTTCAGTTTGCTAACTATGATAGAACAAGAGGCCATTCCATGAAGTTAGCCAAAACAAGATTCCGCCTTGACATCAGGAACAATTTCTATAGCCAGAGAGTTGTAAATAAGGGGAACAAGCTGCCACAAACTTGCATTGATGCTCCCACACTCCTAAGCTTCAAACAGCAACTATCCAACCTTGGTTTTTAAATGGGTCCTATGGGACCCCCTTAACCCTGCCACACCACACTATCTACGGGATCTTCATCACCACGATGGCGAGGTGTGGCCTTCAAGGCATATTCAAGCTATATATTATAATTCCCTGCAAAGATAGTATTATAGAAAGGGTCAACTTACACAGTTTAATAGTAGTCAAACAATTAACATTGTATTTTCTTATGCAGGTTCACATCCACCAGTTAGTAGTCAAAGTAGTTTATCAGACGATGCTATCAAGGCCTCACTCCAGTCAGCTGTAGAGGACAAACTCAAGAGAAAACTCAAGGAGAACTCAGAAAAATTCCAGGTAATTCAATTAAAAGAAGCATTTTGCTATGTGTGATTTTCAACAAGATGAAGTTAATTTTATTTGTTTCTGATGATTCAAAACCTCACAATGCACAATTATTGTATTCAAACCTTAAATATTAATTAACATATCCAGATATCATTAAAATGACTCAGTAACATTGCCTCAGATTCTGAAACAAAATCCTTGATTTAGCTCATGCTGCAATCATAATTATAAACCTTAAGGTCATACATGAATCCCATGACTTTTACAAGCCAATCGCCTGTCTGATTATCAAGATATTTATGATTGGAAATCAAAATTTCATTTTTCGTTTTCCTAATGGTTTTTATAATACTACAGTCTATTGGGAAAAATGAGTATGGTAAAACCGGTCACCAAGATTTTTACTTTTTTGAGGCATTTCTTGATCATTTTGAAGCGCAATTTGTCTAGGGCTAAAATATTACACCATATCACAGACATTGATAACATGTAGGGCCGCGCATCTCAGATTTAACA